GACTTGATATTAATGTTGTGCCGGTATCTTGGATGGGGATTGTCATTATTTGAATTTTATTGATTATGGTTATTGATGTGAGCATTTTTGTTTTATTTCAGCTAATGCATCTGCTGCAACAATTTCTGCTAACATCAACTCAATTCCCATGCTAAATGGGACAAACTTCAAGGTTTGGAAAGAGAACATATTAATTGTTCTTGGCTGCATGGATCTTGACTATGCATTAAGAACTGAACAACCCCAACCTCTCAATGCGGATAGCACTCCTGATGCAAAGAAGGAGCATGAGAAGTGGGAGCGTTCAAATCGCATGAGTCTTATGATCATTAAGCGCGGCGTTCCGGAAGCCTTCAGGGGCATAGAATCCGAAGGGATTACTAAGGCTAAAGATTTCCTTGCCGAAATTGAGAAGCGTTTTGCGAAAAACGATAAGGTAGAAACAAGCACGCTTTTAGCTCGCTTGATTTCAATGAAGTATAAGGGCAAAGGAAATATCAGGGAGTACATTATGGAAATGTCTCATATTGCTTCAAAGCTTAAGGCACTTAAACTCGATCTTTGTGACGAGTTATTAGTGCATCTGGTTTTGTTGTCTCTTCCTGCACAGTTTAACCAATTTAAGGTCAGTTATAACTGTCAAAAGGAGAAATGGACTCTAAATGAGCTCATTTCATACTGTGTGCAAGAAGAAGACAGGTTGAAGCAAGATAAGACAGAAAGTGCTCATTTGGCCTATGCCTCTAAGGATAAGGGCAAGAAAAGGAAGAATGATAAGGAAGCTGCTAAGGGTCCAGTTGAGAAGAAACAACATAAGGATAATCAGGGTTGTTTCTTCTGTAAGAAGCCTGGACATGTAAAGAAGGACTGTACAAAATATCACGCCTGGCGTGATAATAAGGGTACGTTCCTTGCTTTGGTCTGTTCTGAGGTTAATTTAGCTTCAGTACCTAGAAACACTTGGTGGTTAGACTCTGGTGCTACTACTCACATAAGTGTTTCTATGCAGGGTTGCCTGAGCTACCGAAAGCCAAGTGATGTTGAAAGACACATCTTTGTGGGCGACGGACAATCGGTAGATGTGGAAGCAATTGGGCACTTTAGGTTGTTGTTAGGAACTGGTTATTATTTGGATTTAAAAGATACTTTTGTAGTACCGTCTTTTAGACGGAATTTGGTTTCTGTTTCTGTATTGGACAAATCAGGTTATTCTTGTTCATTTGGAAACAGTCAATTCAGTTTATCTTTTAATTCAAATGTTGTGGGAACCGGTTACTTGAGTATTTATGACAACCTATATTTGCTTGATACAATTGCTTCTTACAATGAATCCTTGCATGTGGAATCACGTGGTACTAAGCGTAAATTAAATAAGGAAAATTCGGCGACATTATGGCATAAGCGCTTAGGTCATATCTCAAAAGGTAGAGTTGAGCGTCTTGTGTCTGATGGCATTTTGGATTCCCTTGATTTTTCGGACTTCGACGTATGTGTTGAATGTATCAAGGGAAAACAGACCAAAGTGAAGAGATTAGGTGCCAACAGATCTTCGGATGTCTTAGAATTGATACATACGGATATTTGTGGGCCATTCCCTACGGAATCCTGGAATGGTCAACAATATTTTATATCATTCATAGACGATTACTCACGTTATGGGCACCTATATCTTATTCATGAAAAATCTGAGTCTCTGGACATGTTCAAAGCCTATAAAGCTGAAGTTGAGAATCAACTCAACAGAAGAATTAAAACCGTCAGATCTGATCGTGGTGGTGAGTACTACGGTAGATATGATGGTTCAGGTGAACAACGTCCAGGACCATTTGCTAGATACCTAGAGGAATGCGGTATCGTCCCACAGTACACTATGCCGGGTTCACCTAGCATGAATGGTGTAGCTGAAAGACGAAACAGGACTCTTAAGGATATGGTAAGAAGTATGATTGCTCATTCTTCTTTACCAGAGTCACTCTGGGGAGAAGCACTTAAGACAGCAGCTTACATTCTGAATAGAGTACCAAGTAAAGCAGTTGCTAAAACACCTTATGAGCTTTGGACTGGTCGAAAGCCCAGTTTAAAGCATTTACATATTTGGGGATGTCCAGCTGAGGCAAGGCCTTATAGGCCAAATGAAAAGAAATTGGACTCCAAAACAGTTAGCAGCTACTTTATTGGGTACCCTGATCGCTCTAGGGGCTATAAGTTTTATGATCCCACTATAAGGAATATTTTTGAGACGGGAACAGCAACATTCTTTGAGGATGTTGAGTTTGGGGGGAGAAATAAGGTTAGAGACATTAGTTTTGAGGAGGAATTGGCTTCAGATCCAATCCATACAGTTACTTTTGACAATATTCAGGTTCCTATACCTGTTGTTGCTCAAGAAGTAAATCCGGAACCTCAAGATGATAATGTTGAACAACTCCCTGTTCCAGAAGAACAAACTCAACAACCTCAAGAACCAGTGCCCTTAAGGAGATCCACGAGAGAAAGGAGAAATGCTATTTCGGATGATTATATTGTATTTCTTCAAGAACATGAGGAAAGTAGTGGAATGTTGGAAGATGATCCAATCAACTTCCTTCAGGCCATGAAAAGTTCTAACTCTCAACAGTGGATTGATGCCATGAATGAAGAGTATAAGTCTATGCAAGACAATAAGGTTTGGGAACTTGTCCCATTGCCAGAAGGTGCAAAACCAATTGGTTGTAAATGGATTTTTAAAACCAAGCGGGATGCAAATGGTAATGTGGAGAGGTATAAGGCACGTCTTGTGGCTAAAGGCTATACTCAAAAGGAAGGCATTGATTATACAGAGACTTTCTCTCCGGTTTCATCGAAAGACTCTTTCAGAATAATCATGGCACTTGTTGCTCATTATGATCTTGAGTTACATCAGATGGATGTTAAGACTGCATTTCTCAATGGAGACATTGATGAGATGATTTATATGGTGCAACCAGAAAACTTTGTGTCAGGAGACCCAAAGAATATGGTTTGCAAATTAAGGAAATCCATCTATGGACTCAAGCAAGCTCCTCGTCAATGGTATCATAAGTTTCAACAAATAATTATCTCGTTCGGTTTTGAGATGAACATTGTTGATGACTGTGTATATCACAAGTTCAGTGGGAGTAAGTATATTTTTCTGGTTCTGTATGTCGATGACATATTGCTTGCCACTAATGATATAGACATGTTGCACGAAACCAAGAAATTTCTATCAAAGAAATTTGAGATGAAAGATCTTGGGGACGCCTCTTTTATATTAGGAATCCAGATACATCGAGATCGCTCTCGGGGTATTCTTGGATTATCACAAAAGAGCTATATCGATAAGGTACTTAAAAGGTTTGGCATGCAAGATTGCAGACCAGGTGACACCCCTGTTGCTAAAGGAGACAAGTTTAGTCTCAATCAGTGCCCTAAAGGTAACCTTGAAATTCAGGAAATGCAGAAGATTCCTTATGCTTCGGCTGTAGGAAGTCTAATGTATGCTCAGGTATGTACGCGTCCGGATATTGCGTACATTGTTGGGATGTTAGGCAGATACTTAATCAACCCTGGTATGGATCATTGGATAGCAGTCAAAAGGGTTATGAGGTATCTTCAGAAAACAAAAGATTACATGCTCACATACAGAAAATCAGAAAAGTTGGAGGTCATTGGGTATTCGGATTCTGATTTTGCTGGATGCCAAGATAGCAGAAAGTCTACATCAGGCTACATTTATATGTTAGCAGGAGGAGCTATATCATGGAAAAGTGTCAAACAAACACTTGTAGCTTCCTCCACTATGGCAGCAGAATTTGTAGCTTGCTATGAGGCATCCAATCAGGGAATATGGCTGTGAAATTTTGTCACAGGACTGCACATTTTGGAAAATATTGAAAGACCACTAAGGTTATATTGTGACAATAAATCTGTAGTAATGTATTCCAATAACAACAGGAGCTCAATCAAGTCAAAACATATTGACATTAAGTTCCTGGTTGTGAAAGAAAGGGTACAGAGTGGACAAATATCCATAGAGCACATTAGGACAAACTCCATGATAGTTGATCCTCTTACTAAGGGATTGCCACCCAAGGTCTATCATGAGCATACTGCTCATATGGGTGTGGTAATATTTGAGGATATTATGATTTAGTGGGAGTTTGTAATTGTAGTGCTTTATGTTTTTTGTTGTATTGTCTGATCAGAATAAAGTTTTCAGTTAAGACACTCTGTTACATTATGTTTGGTTTTGACCTCACTTAAGGAGGACCAGTTGAAAATAGACATGTACTGATCACATTGCATGTAATTTTTATGCTGCACATCCATGATTGATCTATGTCGTTTGATTGTATTGGTATATGTGACCATTGATGGGTCGAGTCACGATAAATGTGACGAAGGACGCTTTGATCCTATATTGATATAGTCAATAGACGAGATTGTTCGGAAATACCTTTTCAGTGATAGTAATTTTTTTGAGCTCATAAGGTTATACACAATTTAAGAAATCATATGGTGCCCAAGTGGGAGATTGTTGGATTTAATCTAATAAATCTAATTGTGGGCACATATGATTAATCAATGTGTATTGCTATCTTTCAGGATAACCCACTAAAGTGATCAATTAATTTGGGTTAATTGGGTATTTAAATAAGTCATGGGGTTATGTGCAGATACCAGGTTGTAATTGTGATTTGTTGAGGGGCTAAATTACAAAAGTACAACATCTATAAATAAGGGGTTATGGTCCCTAATCTAGGGTAACACTCTCTAATTCTCTTCACCCCCATCTAGAGAGAGAAATTCGGCTATAGAGAAACCCTAAGGTTAGAAGATCCAAAACCCAAATCAAGTTTTCATCTATGGATTCAGGTATAAGCTTCCGCTCTTTATGATTCTTTTTAATCTCTTTGAATTAATCATGGCTTAATGTTTTAGATCTCAAGTTTTATGATTCAGATCTAACACAAACTACTACAGAACAGTCCTTTCCGGATTCAAATACTCTCTCCTAGTCCAAATCCTATTAAGACTCAAAACCCAAATTTCTTATAAATACACTTCAAACCCTCAAACCCCTGAGAAAAACAGAGAGAGACCGTAATCAAAGCATGACGTCCTCAAGAAGAGCAAGAGCAAGAGCAAGAGCAAGAGCAAGATCAGAGCGCAAAGCGGCGATTTCGCATTCAAATTCTCTTACCCTGGGAAATATTCTTCTTCAACCTCTGCCTCCTCCTCTCGTCGTCGAAACCGAGTCGACGCGTGTCAATCTGGTCGAGGCCCAATGGGTCCTGGGTTACCGTTTCCGCAACCCCCGGCTCCTTGAGGAGGCCCTGACCCACTCCTCGGACCCGGCCCATGAATCCTACCAGAGGCTTGAGTTCGTCAGGGATGCGGTTCTTAGCCTTGCATTCACCAATTACTTTTATTTGAACAACCCTCATCTCGGTCGCGGCGAGCTCTCGGCCCTTTGCTCCGCGAACGTGTCCAATGAGAAGCTGGCACGTGCAGAAGTCCGGCACGGGCTTTACCGCTTTGTTCGCCGCAATGCTGAAGAACTTGATTTTAAGGTAAATAAACATCGGTAGCTTAATTTCTTGGCTTAACAATGTTTTGGGTGAATATCGGCAAAATTTATCCCTATGAAATCGTGGGTGATTTGTATAAAACCCTCGAGAAGACAATTCCTCCTAACTTTGGGGGTTTCACAAAATTCCCTAAAATTTTAAAACCTTTGTTAAAAGCTCCAAAGTTTACGAAGTTTTCTCTAATTTTCGAAGTTCAAGAGGGTTTTGTGCAAATTACACTAAAGTTTAGGGTTGTTTGTTAAAATTTACCCATATGTCGTGGCTTTTTTTTTCATAGTTGCCTTTCTATCACGAGTACGCGAATATACTTCTTTTATGAATTTATTAGTAAATAATATTTTCTATATTATTAATTTTCAAATACTTACTTATGAAATAATTAGTCAATATACCATGTACGGGTGTTACAATGTTTTTCACTCATAAAGACCATTCTAAATGAATAATTAATATTCCAATATTTGAAAGGTTTTTTTTTCATGTTTTTTTCTATTGTTAGGTGGAGGAGTTCAATTGGGATGTTATAAGTGAAGGACATGGATCTTATGGAATCTCTTGCTGCAGCAATTTATATTGACTAATTATTTCATAAGTAAGTATTTGAAAATTATGGAATCTCTTGCTGCAGCAATTTATATTGATTCTGGATTGGATCTTGAGGTCGTTTGGAAGGTTTTGAATCTTATCACTTATCTACAAAATTTTCTTTTATTTAAAATTTTTTTTATCTAATTATACTTAATTTCTTTTAACATATACAAACCAATCATAGGATTCTCTATATTGTTCATAGATAGTATAGGGATTGCTCGTCAAATCATAAGAGTGAACAGTTTAATAGATGGTTATAGCTTCTTAAGTTACAAAAAACCATAAATGTAGCTCAATGAATAAAATGTTATTTATGATAGAATTATTTCTTGTAAAGAAGTTGGACTAATCATTTGGACTTCCATGACGTTAATAGAGCAGTTGACTAGTCTAACATATATTTTTTATATAAGAGTTATGTGGATATTGGGCTTCAGGCTTAACTGTCCAGTGGTTTGAATCCTCTAGGCACTCATTAGATTGAGGGAAATAATGAAAAAGAGAAGGTAGGTAAGACCACTCATTTAGTTTGGATAGCTTTAAGGAGTGCAATGTTCCCTCTAGTTTCTTTCCGTTCACTCTCAACAATACAAAATTTGTTACTCTTTAGATTTGAGTGAAATCTAGGTGAAGGGAATTCTCGTATCTTATCTTATTTTCTCTTCCCTATTTTCCAGTAATGTCCCCCTACCTCCAATCAAATCTAAATATGCCCTTAGACTCGACTCAATAAATGTGAACGAAAATTGTTGGGCTGCCCCTAGGCTTATATATATAAGGAGCCTCCAACCTTCATTTCAAAATACAGAATTGCTGAGCTCGTCCACACATAGAGCTCCTACTTGAAGCCCACTAAGCAATTAATTTCAGCTCCAAAAAAGTTAGGTTTTTTTAGCATGGTTTTTTGGTGCATGAGCTGTGGATTGTTACTATCGCTCACCTTGAACCTGTACCAGTCTATTGGGCTTCAATTGTATTAATTAACGGTGCAGTTGGACTAGACCAAAGATTTGTTGTTTGTTATACTAATCCATAGTTGCATAGGCCGATTTATAGTGTCCGTCAACTCATAGACCCTAGCAGATCATTCTCACTGGTTGTTCTTGGAAGCATTTTAGCTCCACAGAAGTTTGGCTTTTTGGCATGAATCCTAGAAAGAAAGCATTCGGTGAAGGTCGTCCATAATAATAAATGTTTACCTAAAGGATGTTAGCCCTTATATATGTATACGAGTCCCAAAATCCAATTATCTAATGAGTGGCATTCATTTATTGCATATTTAATGCCATGAAACCAGGTGTACTTGATACTTTCCGAGTCACCATAGACTGGCGCTATGTTGGTGCACTTTAAATCTGGACTAGTCTGTTGAGCTTCCGTAGTGTCAACGAAGCAGTTGGACTGGACAATTCATAAGTTTTCATTTCAACGATCAAGTGGCTCTTGGGACTCCAAGTTTAATGGTGCAATAGTTTTGACTCAGCCTCAACTAACATCGTAATAGTTCATAGTTTCATACCTGATCGTAATGCCCATCTGATCATAGAGTTTCAAGTTAGAGCACACTAGACCTTGTTAACTGGCTCTTCTTGGAACCAACTTAGCTCTAGAAGTTACACTTAGGAAACATATGACTTAAATAGATTAGAATTTTCCTCTTCTTTGCACTCAAATAACGTAGGGCTGAAAATATTTCTCCGAAAATTTTTATGTGATGGTCACATATTAATTTTAGACATTTTTAATCCTTAATTCTTGTTAAATTATTGTCAAACCTACCTTTGTCCTATTGGAAACATATTTTTTGACTATTTTAAGATAGATTTGTGATTGGTTTAACAAAAATAAATCCTATAAAAAATTAGATCATGGATAAATCCTCTTTTTCTAAGTTCTTATTAGTAATATTGAGTTTCTTCGATTATAAATTTAGGTATTTAGATCAATTCTAGTGCCCATCACCACATTAGAAGCTATGAAAGAGCAATGTAGATCAACTCTACACAAGAAATGCAGGAAGCATGGAACATTCGTTCAGTTCAAGAGCTCCATCAAGATGAAGAAAAACATCATGAAGGTATTTGTCAATGGAAATGGAAATATTGCAGGTATAAGTTCGTCGAAACAAAAACGCATTGCCAAGCTCAATGCAACACGAGACATGCTGCAACAACATCCAAGCTCCGATGAGTCCGACAACGCCAAGAATCAAAGATCCTGCGTGAGTCAGCGTCAGAAGGAGAGTTTTTGCGAGCGTGGAATGTTTATGTGCATGCTACCAAAATCTCTTCGTCTGTCTTTTAACGTTAAAGGTGGGTCACCGTGGCCCAATGTGACCAAGGCCCAATGGGCCGTGGGCTACAATTTTTGTGACCCGAGGCTGCTTGAGGAGGCCTTGACCCACTCCTCGTACCTGGCCCATGCATCCTACCAGAGACTCGAGTTCTTGGGGAATGCAACTCTTAGTCTTGCATTCACCAATTACTTCTACTTGAATAACCCTGATATCGACCCTGGCGAGCTGATGTTCCTTCGTGGCACAAACATGTCAAAGGAGAAGTTGGCTCGTGCAGCAGTCCGGCTCAGACTCTACCGTTTCGTCCGTCACAATAATGAAGAACTTGATCATACGGTAAGCATAGCTAGCTATCCTAGTTTTAATATGTTTAGGAGAAATATCATGAAAATCCCTCTCAACTTTCGTGGTTTTGCTTAAAATCTTTCAAAACTTTGGTGGTTTGATGAAACTATTTTCGTGTTTACTAGCCATGTCAACCCTCTATGGGTGTAGTTCAGACCAACTTAGTGAATGGTCCATCAATTCTTGTGAATAATGAGCTATTCTTACAATTGAAGGTGGGGTGTTGGCGAAGAGGGAAGAGATTTAAATCCACATTGAAAAATCTTGAGAAAGAGTGATAGCGTCGAATAGAGTTAAGCTGAATACCTAATAGCATAAGCTTTTTTGGTTAAATTGGTTCCTAGCATCTATTTCAAGCCCATGAACACTCGATTTGGCTGCAAGAACAAGTTGTATTAGGACCATGTTCATGGCTAAAGGCAAAATAAAATTTAATGCAAAGGTGAGAGGTGTTAAGGAGGATGATTGTTAGACAATGAATGGTGTCTGAGATTGATTCTAGGAGTAGTAATGGTCGAATTAGCCAATACATGGTGGAATATCTTGAGGGCATTGAGTAGTCATATTTTTTTTCTTTCTAGTTTTCAGACCAAGTCATTAAAGGATCTAGGGACGATAGAGGTTGGTTATTTATGTGAGTATGGTCTCACATTGGAGATGGTTAAATAATTGGGCGTGTAAGGTCAAAACCTAATAGCTAAACCTTTTGGGTTAAATTGGTTCCCATCCTCTATTTAAAGCTCATTGATCGGTTGGTCCCAATTTTTCTCCAACATATTAAACTCCCTAAAATATAGGGGTTTCCACTAATTTTAAAGTTTAAGAGGGTGTTCTGCAAAAACCACAAAATTTCATGGTTTTGCAAAACTATACTTTAAATCTTGGTTTTTCCACATTTCTAACTAATTTATCTTCTCTATTATTAGGTGCAGGAGTTCAGTCGGGCTATTACGACTAAAGGACACATCGAAATCGACCGGATGAGCTACGAAGGAAATACAAAGAAAGCTCCTAGAGTATTGGCTGATATTATGAAGTCTGTTGCTGCAGCAATTTATATCGATTCCGGATTGAATCTTGAGATCGTTTGGAAGGTACATGAATTTTTTATGTTATTTATAAACTTTTTCTTTTACTTAAGAAAATATGTTTTGCATGTAGTTGAAATTTATTTATTTAACAGACATAACGTAATTTCAGAATCCTAAAAGTTTAACGGTAGAGAGATTACTTGTTTAATCATAAGTATATATAATTCAGTGGACGATTATGATTTCTTAAATTAAAAATGAGAATAAGTGTAATTCACATATGATAGATATTATTAGTATGAATCATAACTGTAATGAGTGGGTTATTACCAGAGATGTGAACTGATCTTCTACTTAAGGAAGAGATGAAGCAACGTACCTTTATAACAGGGGTAAAATATTATATGTGCTTTAAATAGCTTATACATTGCAGAATTATAATATATGACAATTCACTACAGACAGGAATATAATTAGTTTGTGCATTCTAGCATTGAGTACAGATTTAATTCATGTTCCAAAGCTTACCCATGGAAGTGATCAAATTGGCTGGTACAGAAAAAATCAGTTTGAAAATTAAGACATTTGATAAATTTTCTATATTAAATTCTCGTTGGTAAAATTAATTTTTTTTAATTATAATTCAGGTATTTAGATCAATTTTGGCGCCAATCATCACAAGAGAAACTATGAAAGTACAACCAAGAACAGCTCAACATAGTAAATCCCAAAAGCAAATAGAATCTACTAAGTTCAACCGTTCTGTCAAGAGGACGAAAAACACCATGAAGGTGTTCATTGATGGAGACCTCATTAGCATAAGTTCTTCAAAACAAAAACTGTCATGAGGTCATGCAGCTGGGACCAAATCATTAACTGGTATAGCTTCAAGTTGAAAGGAATTGGATTTATGAAGAAATTGGAAAGAATGACTCTATCGGTTACAGTTTATTTGCTATGGCAGGAAAGGAACTTGAGAATCTTCCAGCACAAAGCACGGTAGCCTAATCTTTTGCTTCGTACAGTGAAGTTCTCCATTTACTCCAAAGTCTTGAATGAAAAATTTCCTTTTCATATGAAAGAAAGACTTGAGAAATTGTAAAGTGCGACTTCTCTGTTAGTTGATTACCAGCCTTTGCTCTGGTATATTTGATGTACTTAAACTTCACATTTGAAAAATGAATAAAATTTATTTTATTGACAAAAAAAAAAGAGTTTAGTCATATTTTCTTTGAAATACTGGGGCACCATAGCTTTTTTCACAGCGTATTTAATAGACTCATGCCATGAGTGAAGCATACAGTAAAGATTTCAGCTATTAGATCAGCGAAGAAATCTCTGTCTGATACTAGAATAATTTTATAGGATAGGGTTGGTACCTATGCATCATTAATGTTATACATTAGGAAATTTAAAATTTTAAAAAAGGTTTTAAATTTTAAATATCACTTTGTATGACTTGAAGCTTAAGTAATGGCAACCAAGTCTTAATAAGTAAAACGTTTTACATATAATTTGAAACGTTACTTATGAAACTAGAAGTATCTTTTTAGATATGTTTATTGTTTTAAGTTTTTTGACGTTAGGATAGTTTTTATAATTTTAAACTTTTCATGGTATTTAATTTATGCAATTTTTAAACTTTTTAGGTTTTTTACAATACTTTATATATTATAGTACGTTAGCTACGTATAATTTCTTTATCTTAACAAACTAATACTATAAATATGTTTTATATATATTTTATTTTGTTTATAATTTAAATTTTTGAGGGTGTTTCTATAATTTTGAGATATTGATATGTTAACCGTAAATTTTAAATTCTTAGCAAACTGCTGTTAATTTCTTAATTTTATATTTGTTGTTTTAAGTTTTTAGACGTCGGGATAGTTTTTATAAATTTAAACTTTTTAGGGTATTTTGTGCAATTTTAAAATTTTTTAGGTTTTTTTGCAATACTTTATATATTATAGTACGTTAGCAACGTATAATTTCTCTATCTTAACAAACTAATACTATAAAGATGTTTTATATATTTTATTAATATTGTTTTTTTTAAATGCACGTAGGATTAGGATATGATATAATTATGATTAAGATAGATTAAGATATAAATAAAATATTTAAAATAGTGAAGGGTAATATTTACCATAGAAAAAATTTTCCAAACTCGTGCTTTTAAAGAGAGTATGGTTTAGTGTGTATTAGATATTTAAAACCGTCAATAATCAAAGGAAGTTATTGGGGCTTGAATAAGTTAATTGGCTTGGACTTGAAATGGATACTTTGATATCCATGGCACAGTTTATTATAGGGTTGACAGCCATCCGTTGGGCGTTCAAGCCAAGATTTATAGTTCTCTCGATTATATTGCAAATGCAATCGAAATCCCAAATTTTTCTATCCCTAAATCTATCAATAATAAGAATAAAATTAAAAGAGAGATGAATAGATAAGAATGAGAGAACGTCAATGATCAATTAAACTTGATGAGCACCGAGAAAACTCTCAATCTTATATCTCTACTAAGAAGATTATATATGAATTTTAATTTAATTCAAAAGAGGAAACAATCACCAAGTAAGCTTAATTGCTATATCTTTTTAGAATTCAAAATTTGTATATATTGCTAACTTATGACTAAAATTTTACCTGAAGTCGTAAAAATAAAAATAATTTAACGTCCACCATCTTTTTTGTGGCGTTTCATAAAATAAAAAGTGATATTCTAAAATTTTATAGGTATATGTGCACCTGATCAAAATATGTAATTCAATGCATTTAAATTTTCACCCATTAAACAAAAACAACAACAACAATCATTTATCCTAAAACTAATTTTTTTTTTGTTATATTCGAAATTAAACCCTATAATTTGACTAGAACTCAAATTCTCCCCCGAAGGAGAGTTAGAGTTCAATTGGAATTCATAATAAGATTTGTCTCATCAAGCTATCATAAAATGTGTTTACCTTGTTTATATCTGTACGTATCTTAAATTTGTCTCTCTTCTTTAAAAAAAAAAAAACACAACAATCATGAAGTTAATGATTGCTTTCTACTCGATGCTCGGAATAACTTCGATCGCTTTAGTAATTCTCATCCTTGAAGCCAATCTTTCAGTGAAAACCTACACTCTGGTTCCCTCCGTATTTATCTTGGATTCTCGTTCTCCTCCTACGGAAACTCAACCTCGCTTTCACGGTAAAGTATTTCCATGTAACATACAAAATTTTAGGGTTTTTTTTTTTTACGTAACTATGCCTCAATCTTCGTATTTGCAAAACTTCCAGAGAGTAAAATTTACCTAAGTCAAGTGTTTACTCATCATAACTAAGAGCGTCAGAAAATTCTAACAGCGTTGATTATAATTTGTTGATTCAAGTTATTTTTGCCCACAATTGATAACATTGGAAGGTTAAGGGGTATATATACGAAAAAACCCCCAAGTTTCTAATTATTCTTGCGTTTTAACTTTTTTTTTTTTCTTTTTTGAAGTTATCGTGCCGGAGTTGGAGAGCAATGATCACCGTCCTAAAGAAGGCAAGAAAGTTAATATTACAGTAAATCATAAAGAGGATGATACTAAAGATAAAACTGACCGCGAGAAGGAAATAAATATATGGGGGCTATTATTTATACTTAGTGTGTGCTGGATATTTGGAGGAGTTTTCTTCTTGTACTTGATCTTGCTTTGTTTCGGATGCGTGAAGCCGCCAACAATGATGGAAGAAGAAGCACAGCCCATGACGATAGAAGTTGACTTAGAACTTGTTTGATTTTTATTTATTTATTTATTTGAGAAATAAGGATGGAAATCTCATAAAATACTTTGTGCTTGATTTTTTTTATCTTATATTTGATTAGTGTTTTTCTTTTCCTTTTCATTTTTGTTACATATATTGACATTTATGTATAGTTAATTTGTCTTCACTGGTCAAAATCTACGATAGAAATTGAGGGAGTTCTATTTTGTGATTATTTACTGTGTATGCTCTCACCCTTGCTTTTCGTTAATTATATATGATAGCATTTGCACAGATTCTTGTTTGAGTCAAAAGTCGGTGCTGTTGAGGAATTCATTATAACTTTGTTTGATTACAACAAATTCAAAAGAATAATCTTTCTATAAGATTTTTTCTACACAACAAAGCGAAAATTACAACTTTTGAGAAACAAACACAAAAATCGTCTATCGATCTTTGTTTTCGTGGGACTTTGCCTGTGCCGGGAACGCTTTGGCTCGTGGACCGCCGAATCACAGATCGTGAAGAGGGGGTTTACTGATTCTGACTTCGTTTATCGAAGTGAGAAATTGAAACGATATCTTATCGAAGTAAGATAGTCGTTCTTCTTAAAATCAAGTCAAAGCTTAATTTCAAGGCGTTGTAAGAAAACTCAAATCTGCTCTCTCTCTCTGCTCTGGAATGCTCGAAAATATGCTCGATCCTTGTTAGAAGTGACCCTAGGGGGGTATTTATAGGCTCAGGGGTCTGCAACTGAAAAAACTCAACAAATGACGACATTAGTACGGCGAGACAGTGTTTACTATCTCGCTGGGTGAGACAGTGTTTGCTGTCTCGACCCGCGAGACAGTAAATACTGTCTCGGAAACAGTAACCGCAGGCAGTTTTCGTTTTAACTGCCTTCCCACGTTTCAAACTCCGTTATTTTGGCAGTTATTCACGTGATTTTCGCCCACGATGTTTTCCACGTCCCTTGGCAGTTAATGGACACGTGTAGGGCAGTTACAAAGGTAGTTTTGACCATTTCAACACTGTCTCGCTGGCGAGACAGCAAATACTGTCTCGCTGGCGAGACAGCAAATACTGTCTCGCTGGCGAGACAGCAAATACTGTCTCGCTGGCGAGACAGCAAATACTGTCTCGCTGGCGAGACAGCAAATACTGTCTCGCTGGCGTAGATCGTGTGGAAGGACTTGTAAATGGCTTCAATGCTTGATCTCTGTTGCTTTTAGTCTATTCAGTTCTTTGTAGAATAGCTAATGTCTTCCCCGGCGTCACGTTTATCGCTTGACCGTTGTCGAGATTTTGAATTGAAGTTAGTATCTGCTCTTGCGGGTTCAGCTTTTACCACTGAGTTGATATATCTATTGAGAGCTCATCAGGTTATCCTTAAGAATATTCTGATTAATATTCTCCAGAAACTTCCTGTTGAGGGTAGGAATACAGTTTAGACTCGTGTACCTATTGGAGTATTCATCTGTATCGTAATGCGATACAGAGAGGGTTCATTGTCTCGTTCAGCGAGACAAAATATGCTGTCTCGCTCAGCGAGACAGTGTTTTCTGTCTCGCTGAGCGAGACAGAGTTTTCTGTCTCGCTGAGCGAGCCAGCGAGTATAAAACTCGAACTTAGGGTTTTTTAGGGTTTTTTACGTCGATTTCTGGGCGATTTTTGGCGATTTTCTTGGGCGATTTTCGAGTGATTTTCGATCAGTTCTTCACCTTTTCTTCTTCTCTTCGTTTCTGATTTGGGTAGAGCTTCGTTTGGGGAGATTCCACCTGGATTTCAAAGGTCTGTTCACTCCTTTTTCCAAAACTTTGATTTGCTTCACCTGTGACTGTGCATGTATTATTTCGGCCATATTTGGTGATATTTTGGTTGATTTCTTGCTCAAAATCCTGACTTTTTCGTTGGGCTTCCTTGTAGATCATTTACTCATTATGGTGACTGTGCATGCATTGTTTCGGTTGTATTTGCCCTATTTTTTGTCGATTTCATGTTCAAAATCTTAGCTTTCCTCTTGGGTTTCAATGTAGATCACATACTCATCATGTCGCCGCGTAGAGCTCGAGGGACCCGAGGCCGACCGACTGTTCAGAGCCCTGAGGAGGCTGCCCCTGCTGTGATCTCACGTGGAGGTATATTTCTTTCACCCTTTCACGAACTTAAATACTGTATTTCGTCAGTTCCATAGCTGCCCCTGCTGCGATCTCACGTGGAGGTATATTTCTTTCACCTTTTCACGAATTTAAATACTGTATTTTGTCAGTTCCATATATATGTCTCTATATTTGCTTGCAGATCCTCGTTTGTATCCTTTGAGATACCCTCGAGAAGAGCCGGTATCCTCCTTTGAGGGGATCGACGCTTAAAAGTGTTTGTTTTGCTTTGACAAAACACACTTCAGAATACACAGGGGCGATTT